CCCACCATCTCCGCCCTCTCCCTCCCCCCCGCCGCCACCACGGAAACCACCAGTGCGCTCAGTAGCATAATTCACTCTGACCATGCGCCCATGGAGTTCCTAAAGGACAGAATAATAATCAGAAACTGAAAGACAAAAAATAACAAACATTTCCTCCTGAAGAATAGCAATACTCAAGATAAACCATCAGACACCATCAAAATCATCTAGTGAGTAAGTTTGAAGATGCAGTGCTGCATCTGGTCCTTTTTCAAAAACAATTATACCATCTTGGTCGCAATGGATGGGGCTTTCTAGGACAGAGTAAGAACACCAAGCCTTGAAAATATTTGATCCATATGATTTAAGTTGCACGCCGTGAGAACAATTCTGTTCCAAGGATCAGCAAATCTCTTATGCCAAATTGGAAAGAGAAAGGCGACATAATGCAGGACTAAATGTAGCAATCGGCCAATCCCCCGAGAGGGTTTGAGTTATTGCAGTAGATATCATATAGTGATATATAAAAATTACATACTTGTTTCTTGTATTGACCCTTGGCAAAGAGGTTATTTAACATCCACATCATTGTCTTCTTTTTAAAAGCTGTTGATGATGATGCTGATGATGATAACAATAACAATAAGTACTAGCAGCAGCAGCAGTAGTAGCAGCAGCAGCAGCAGCTTCTTTTTAAAAGTTGATGATGATGATAATGATGATGATAAGGCAGAGAGGAGCAGCAGCAGCAGCAGCAGAATAGTAGTAGTAGTAATAATAGTAGTAATAATAGTAGTAGTAATAGTAAGCAGCAGAGTAGTAGTAGTAGGAGGAGGCAGCAGAGTAGTAATAGTAGGAGGAGGCATAGTAGTAGTAATAGGAGGAGGAGGAGGAGGCAGCAGGGTAGTAGTAGTAGGCAGCAGAGTAGTAGTTGCAGTAGTAGTCGTAGTGGAAGTCATGGTAATAGTAGTGGTTGTAGTAGCAGTAGCAGTAGCGAATGTCCCAGGTTTGAAGTGAACATCAATTGCAAGCTCACAAAATAATGACAATATGTTTTTGAAACTGATGCATGGGATAATTCTCTGACACACTCGAAGAGCTCTGCTAGGCAACATAGTTTAAAACGGTACCAACATTCTCTACCACAATGCAGTATTTCTTATCAAGTGACCTGTTTTGCATTCAGGCTTAGACCTCTAATAAAAGATAAATATTATAGGACAGCTCAAGAGTATTTACTATTGAGGTTATTACCATACACACATTTTGCAATAAGCATATTCACAGTCAAGAAACATAGCTTGGAGATACCTACTTATCATTCAAAACTTTCCTTAAAGAAGAGAGTTGATTCTTATATCGTGAGAGCTCAGAGAAATGTCAATACTTGCCAAACATGAAAGCAAGCAATAAAATACCATATAGTCCATTTCTCATACAGATGACTCACGCAACTTAATAAAGGGTGGTGGACTATGAGATAATCCACTTCAAAGACTTTACTTTTCCTACTGTATTGTTAACAGAACTTATTTACAATTAACAAATTGAAAGGGCAGGAGGCTGGAAAGGAAAAGGGATTCTACTTCATATATAGACAATATAATGACAAAATGGTAACAGGATCTGGGAAAGAAAGCAGCACTCCAAACTTAAATAATGTACATTCGCAGGAAATATCTCCCTTTTTTTAAGAAAATCTTCGCTCGTTATTATTGCCTCGAAAGAGCATAATGACAAGTTGGCGACCAAAGATATGCAAGCACAGGGGGAAGGTTGTATTTGTTTTCCTTTTTACGAAAGTTTAATAAGGCCATACAGTTCAAATAAAAACCATTTTTTCTCAACTAAATCTTATGATAAAACAACTGATCAAATAGATGCATAACAGATGATGCTGAGCTTGATTCGTTAATTAGAAGAAAGAGTCAAATATGAACAACTGCTCCCATTAAAATTCAAGGTTTATCTTAACACTTAAAAGACCTAAATTGCCAAAAAGAAAAAGAGACAGTGTGAGTGATGTTTCTTAGTTTTTTGAACTTAGTATAAACAATGAATATACAACATTCCAAAAGACAGAAAATTCAAAAATACAATGTTTTAAGCCATTCTCTTTATGGGTAAAAATAGCTGTCAATATCGATATAAAGCCTCTTTCAATAATTCAGAGATAGTGGCTTAAGTTTTACAGATCTGCCAATAGTAAGTACCTTCCCGTCCAGACCACTCATGGCACTAGAAGCCTCTTCAGTGGATGTAAAACTTACAAAACCGAACCCTCTGGACCTGCCAGTCTCCCGATCCAAAATAACCCTTGCTGCAAAAAGATAAAGAGTGAATTATTTCAAAACCATCTGCAAAACAGAGTTCTATGACTGTAAAAATGTTGCATTTGAAAACAATGTGTACCTTCAGTCACTTCACCAAAGGAAGCAAATGCTTCTCTCAAGGACTGATCATCTGTACCATAGGAGAGTCCTAAAAGAAATGAACCGTAAAATGAGCACTATTAAGCATTTACAGACTTGAAATGAAAATTCAAAGCAGAGATGGGAAATAAATCAACAAACCTCCAACAAAAAGTCTGGAAGATGACATGCATCGTATAGCTTGGAGTACAGATGAGTTTGAGGCATTAACAGCTTGTTTGAAGAGACTTCCGAGCTTGTTAGAAAAAACCATTGTTGGGATCTGAAATCAAACTAGAAACAAAGTGACAAGTCAATTCTAGCAAGAGACGAAACAGAAGCACAAACTACTTTAACACGATTTCCTCTCTTCTTCAAACAAAAAAAAATTATGTATAAGAATTTAACAAATGAAGTCAGAAAAACTTGCAGTAGTTTGTTATGAAAGAAGCTTACAGAGTTTTTCTCAGGTTTAAGAAATCTCTTTAAAATAATGGCATATATATAATATAAATATAGTCTAAACAAACCAATCGTGTTGCGTTATTGAAGAAACAACATACAAGAACTCATTAACGTAAGCACAGATAACTCAATTGCCCAAAAAAATAAAACTAGGAAAACTCTATACGCAGCGACAACACTTCGGACCCAATAATTCAACTAGCATATGACCAAGATGGGAAGGTACATTCGCAATTGACAAATATTACTGATCTGACCACGCAATTGAGCTAGTGGTTGGGGCTTGGGGCCTTGGCTCAAAAGGCCAACGGTCGTCCGTGTCCACGGCATTATGCCTACCAATATCTAATTATCAGGCATTACAACACTTGTGAATGTGTTATTCATTTGGGTCCAGACCACGAGAGGGGGCTCCGGGACACCGGGTTTACTTGGCCGGTACAAAGCTAAGGTTTCTCACGCCAAAAAAAAAAAATTGTAGTAGAAAAGGTTGAACCCATGCAGACTGCTTCAACAATTTGTTCACTGGGTGCTGAAAAAAGTACACGACACACCTAAAATCTCCCATCACTGGAGCAAACTTATAAAGAAGCAAACCCCACTACAGTATTCTTAATTTCATCACGATTTTGTCGCATTCTATATATAGAGAGAGAAGTAGGGAGATATTTCAGTTTGTAGCAAACACAGAGAAATTCAAACCATCTACAAACAAAGAACGCATCGAAACTACGCATCTTTAATCAGAGCTAAACAGAGGAATTAAATCAGATCAAATAATTATAAAAGGGTCAAACTTGTTTCAAGCTGATCCGGAACGAAACGAAGCAAAGGAAATCGATAGATGTCTCATACCTCGGGATCAAAAGGAAGGGGGAAAAAACCTTTAAGTTAGGGTTAGGGTTTTTGGGGTATGAGGAAACGTACCTCTCCGCTTCGAGATGAGACTGGAGAGGTCGGAACTGAATATAAATGCCCCGAGTCTGGACAGACAAATGTCTACCCTTTTTTGAGAGGAAAAGTCCCGGGGGTTATTTGCATATACCCCTTAAGTAATAGGTATTTCCGAAAGTATCCCAAATCTTAATATTTGCAAAATTACCCCTCAAATCATCCATTTGAGGAGGGCGGGGGAAAAAAAAAATTACCCGAAATCAATCAATTTTCGTCAACTTTTAACAGGCTAATTTGTAAATGAAATGAAAAAAATTATCAACAAAATCGTAATCTTTTTACTCTTCAATTTGATGCTATTTTTAATTTCCAGCTTAAACGGGATTAGTCTAAACCAAATTAGTTCTAATATCTCGTGTGCCCTCACTTCTCCTTAGACAATAATGGTTCTATAGCCCGCGTACTATTTTAAAATAGTTTGGACCCATCTTTTTTAGCCTATGTTTGTTTTCTTATCCGGCCTGGACTATTTTCAAAGAGGGACTATGTAACCTCAAAGGAGGAGACTAATTTTAACCTACCTTGTAATTCTATGTTCTCCTATAATATAGTTGCGCTGTTATGCACATTTCTCATCAAAATAAAATATATTTACGGAAATAACGGTGTGCGGAGGTGTGTCCTCTTTAAAAGACATGTTAGATATTATTAGTTGTGTTGTACTATTATATTAGTTGACTGGATTGCAAAAAATGTCATTTTTTTAGGGTTAATTGTAGAAAACCCCCTTAACTTTAGAGCTTTGTCTCGTAAAACTCCTCTCATCTTTTTTATCTTTAGACCCCCCTCCCCCCCTAAATTTGAGGGTGTTGTAGATAACTCCCCTCAACTTTCAAAATATGACTAAACCCCCCTTAACTATGGGTTGTCTCACAAAAACCCCCTTTATCTTTCTAGTTTTTTTCGAAATAACCTCCCTAATATTATCAATTCGAAATATGCAATGACTAAAGTACTCTTGGTTTAAAATACATGTGAATTTAAAAACCCAACCCAATCAAAATATTAGATCATGGTTCGATGGATTTTGATGATGAAATCAATCTTCAAAAAAGAAATTTAAGAGTTTCAATTGTTTCAAATATTACAAGCATGGGTAAACAGAAAATAAAAGAAGTTTAGTGTTACAAAAAAGAAAGAAGAAAAATTATATTTGCACGTAAACCTAGTAATAAAAATGGAGGAATAAGAAGAGGGGAGAAATATAATGAAAGTTGTTTTTTACTTAAAAAGTCAAAATGAACACTATGGTTAAAAAAATTAATGTCTTGGTATGGTCATTTTAAATCATGTGCTCATTTAGATTTAAATCATACACCCTTCAAAAGAGAGAGTCGGGAAAAACCTTTCCAAGGACTATATTACCCCTATTTCTTTTGATATTACATTTTGATACTAACTAAACTGAATTAATTATCATTGTTAATTAATTATATTATATTTCACTTTAAGTTTGTATAATTTGGCATTAGAACTTCCAACGTTATTACAAAACTATACATCATATTAATTATTAGTAATGTATAACAATATATTAATAGATAATTGCATGTAAATAATTCAAAATCTTGAGACTCGCTCAAAATATTATACTTTAATTTTTCCACTTCTTCTCTACTATATAAATATAAGCTAAGAATATGGCATCATATTGTATAATGAATATTATTTATCAATGGGATCATATGCTATTGTTTGTGGATAATAAAGTCTAAAATCTTTTGTAGGTTTAACTGAACTTAAATACCTTGTAGTTTACCAAAATTATACTTATATACCTCCATTAGTGTCTTGCTGTACTTTTTTTTTAATTTTAGATAATGTATCTTGATGCTGTTAAATATCCTAATGTTTTCTAAAATTTAATGTTTATACCTTCTCTCATGTTACCTAAACATAACTACATAAGAATGCTCCTTGTAATTTTCTTATATAAGTTTCATGGCATAATTTTAGGACAATTCTATATTTTCTACTCTTTCCATAAATACTTTATTCTACCAGTGTTTTCTTTTAAATATGAATGCCTTAAATTAAATACTCTTTTCTATTCTTTGGTGCCCTACCAGTGTTTTCTTTTAAATGATATTGTATGCCACGATATAGGGATATGAAGCCGGGCATGGTGGTGTATCTAGCGTTACATAGGTAATATTTGTTTACATTAAGTACAACAATATCTTATTATGATCTCAATTATTCATAAGTATTTAATTTATTATTCAAAATATGAATAAGAATTAATATCATCATAAACTCTCAGCCCGTAAGCCTGTGGTCTCAACAGAGCATCTTGTAATATCTTATAGTCATTTGCTGCTCTCTCACCCAGCTAGGACATATGTGAATAGTTTATTGGGGGTGCAAGCTGCTAAGACATTTTGTGTCATACATATACGCCCTCTAAACCGTGCAATTAGATTACTGGTTAACACGGTGTCAACGTGTGTTCCATATATCATACCAATGCAGTCCTATAAAAAATTATAAATTATAAAATATTTAATAAAATAGTTATCTATTTAAAAGAGATTTTAAGGCGTAGATATTATTTCTACCTTAAAGTAAGGAAAATAGTTTGGATTATTTGCAATCCGTATGAACTTTATTAGGAGCTTGATCCATGTAGCAATCATGTAACTCATTTATTAATTATAGGACTTTATTGAAATACCTACTCATTGTTTCTCCTGATCTTATAAACTCAGTCCTTATTATTCTATTTGAAGTTTTATGATCCACTATACTTAGGAACATAGCAAGATGTTCTTCAACTTGAACATGTCCTATATCCTTTAATAAACTATTTGCTTTCATTATTTCAACAAGTTTAAAAAAGGTCCTCGGCCTCATTCTAATATAAGACCGACAACTATCACTATAGCCTTTCAATACACGTTTGAAGTGAGCTTCTCTGCAATATTTTTTTTGATCTTTTCTTCCCTCGTACAACTAGAAATTGTCTCGCGCTTAGCACACATTCTCATAAGACAAGTAATTATCGTGACCACAAAAGAAACAGTCGTATTAGCACACATCCACTTTAATTGTTCTTCATCTACGTTATCCATCTACATCCATTGTAAAATTAGTATACATTAAGAATTTAATTTTTCCACTTATTCAAGACATAATAATAATTAAATCACTAATTCATATATTGAAATCTTAAAATAAAATTACTAAATATCCACAAATCTATTTTTGTAAAGAAACAACTAATTCATATATTGAAATCTTAAAACGAAATTACTAAATATCCACAAATCTATTTTTGTAAAGAAACAACTAATTCATATATTGAAATCTTAAAACAAAATTACTAATTCATATATTAAATAATTAATTTGCATCATATTTTGTAAAGAATTTCAGCGGGAATTTATTTTCATAAACTAGTGACTTTAGCAATATATTATGGCTATCCACTTGAATATTCAACATACATAGGGCAAAACATTTTAGTATTATTATTTTTTACTATAAACAGAACGATATATTAGGCTGCAATAAAAAATGTAGTCTACATTACTCGTCAATTTGACGATGTTAGGGTGTATTAGCAAAAAACCCCTAGCAAAAAATAGATAAACCTCCCAAAGTATAACCATCCATGATCAAACATGACAAATAACCGAAGCAACGAAGTTCTAAATTATCAAACATCCACTACAAAATAACCATGACAAATAATCATCCATGATCATATACTAATTTAAAAAAAATGGGTTATTGATTTATACCTCCAACTGCCAAAGCTCTAATTCAGGGTTGAAAACGGAAGCAACCAACCGAAGCAATAAACAACACTGCTTCGGATCAAAGCTCGAAATCGAAGCTCGTAATCGAAGAAAGAAGCTCAAGATCAAAGCTGAAAACTGAAGCAACCAACCGAAGCAACAACTAGCACTGATTGGGATCAAAGCTCGAAATCGAAGCTCGTTATCGAAGAAAGAAGCTCAAGATCGAAGCAGAAAACTGAAGCAACCAACCAACCGAAGCAACAAACAACACTGTTTGGGATCAAAGCTCGAAATCGAAGCTCGTAATCAAAGAAAGAAGCTTAAGATCAAAGCTTTTGAGATCGAGACTCGAAATCGACGTTCAAAATCAAAGAACGAAGCTGAAAATCAAAGCGACCGACAGAAGCTCAAAATCAAAGCTCGCAATCGGAAAAAAAAATCAAAGAACGATTCGAGAAGATGCGCAAACAGGATTCAAAAGAGACGGGAGAAGATTAGCAAGAGAAGGCTGAAACCAATCCAAGGTTCACGCTGCGGCGGAATTCGAAAAATAAAGGGAATGAGAAGAGTAAGGGGTGTGTTTGTTGGAAATTTGATGTAAAAAGACAAAGAAAGAAAATTTGACTTGTATTCTCTCAAAATCG